CAATCGGCCAATCGCTAACTGATCATTAATCTATCAGCAAACTGCTGACTGATCATCAGTTGACTTACTTATCTTCCTTCAATCCGCCGTTTGAGACCAGATCGACAAACAGCTGAGGAGACTCAGCAACATCCTGAGAACATCATACTTCAGTGGAGTACTGTACACTGAAGTGCATTTGGAGTACAGTGATGTGCAGTGGAGTGACTTGAAGTGTAGTAGTGCACAGTGGAGTGCAGTGGAGTACACTGAAGTGAAGTGGAGTACACTAAAAAGTATTAGAGTACAGTGAAGTGCATTTGGAGTACAGTGATGTGCAGTGGAGTGATGTGCAGTGGAATAAATTGAAGCGCACTGGAGTGCATTGGAGCACAATGACATGCAGTGGAGTGCAGTGAAGTATAGTAGAGTGCATTGGAGTACAGTGGCGTGCAGTGGAGTGATGTGCAGTGGAATAGATTGAAGTGCATTGGAGTACAATGGAGTACAATGACATACAGTGGAGTGCAGTGAAGTATAGTAGAGTACAGTGATGTGCAGTGGAGTGATGTGCAGTGGAGTGATGTGCAGTAGAATAGAATGAAGTGCATTGGAGTACAATGGAGTACAATGACAAGCAGTGGAGTGCAGTGAAGTATAGTAGAGTACAGTGATGTGCAGTGGAGTGATGTGCAGTGGAGTGATGTGCAGTAGAATAGAATGAAGTGCATTGGAGTACAATGACATGCAGTGGAGTGCAGTGAAGTATAGTAGAGTACAGTGATATGCAGTGGAGTGATGTGCAGTGGAATAGACTGAAGTGCATTGGAGTACAATGGAGTACAATGACATGCAGTGGAGTGCAGTGAAGTATAGTAGAGTACAGTGATGTGCAGTGGAGTGACTTGAAGTGTGGTAGTGCAGTAGAGTGCAGTGGAGTACACTGAAGTGAAGTGGAGTTCATATTTTTTATTTTACAAATGGATGGACAGTTTCTTTACTATTCTGTGAAAGAAACAAGTGAGGACATTTATTTTACCAAAACACTGGAAGGGTTTTACTTATAAAATGACCAACAGGCATATTTTATATTAAATAAACAGTTCTGTTGAGAAGAAACACAAACAACCACAATAATCATGCAAATTCCTTCCTCAAGTTATTTGACTATCTTTATAAACTCATGTATTTGACAACATTTATGAGATTTATTTCCTGTATTTCTAGGTTTTGCCAAAACAGATGTAAAGATGTATTTTCCATCAGCCTTGGCCAGCTGCTCCTCAGCTGAGCAACTGAAGTGACATGAGAACAGTTCAGTCATTTTTCTACACACTCACAACAAAGTTCTGACCAATCATACGATAGTTGATTCCTCTGCCCGGACCGGTTCTTGGAGCTTATGTGAGAATAAAACGATGTCATTTTAATCAGTAAGAACAGATTTCTTCACTTCTCACAGTGTAGGAATGCAAAGTGTCACTTTTTGGAGGTTGTTACATGTTACGTTTGCTACGTGAGGGGGGTCCCAATATACCTCCTCAGATAGTTCAGACCACACAGTGAGAGCTTAATTTCATTCTATGTGATCATAGAGGCTTTTAGCCGTCTGAAAGAGTCACACCTCTTATTAAATCTCAGTCTACCTTCCCCCATTGACCCCCCCCCTGTAGCCCCTTCTCGCTCTTGGTATTTAGCCCAGTCATCAGATTTAGGCCCAGCCCACAGTGGCTCCCTTTTTAATTTGCACCTGTTGTGCAGTTGTCCAGGAGGCGAGAGCCGCAGCAACTGCAGACAAAGGTCATATTATGAAGGAGTAATCGCCCTGTAGCTGGGGGTGGGGTGGGGGGTGTCAACAGATAAACTCAGCAGCAGGAAGTGTGAAAAGATGCAGCAGAGGTTCGTTGTGCTGCAGAAAGAATAGAGTTAAAGTTATTGCTTTTCTGGCTGAAGTCTGATCTGCTGGATGTTCCTATGATGTCAGCACCAACCCCCAGCTGACCCAGGGTCAAGTCTGCAGCCATGGCACAATGGAAACTTAAACCATCTGAAAAAGATCAGCATTTTAAAACTATGACGGGTGTCCCTCCAGCTGTTTGTGCCAAAGAAAATTAAAACATAATATTCACACTTCAACAACAAAATCATAAAATGCAGATCAATAATGGAACCAGCCTTGGGAATTGTAATTCTAGTCTGTGTCCCGTGTAAGGATCGAGTCAACAAGTGGTCTGTGAGACGGAGCTGCTGCTGATTACGGACAGAAAACTAGAAAGCTGACAGCTACAACACTGACAGAAAATATTCTGCGCTGACAATCAATTAACACAAATTACAACAAGTTCACACAGAGTACAACCAGTTTACCCAAAGTACAGTTTATACAGAGTACAAGTTTATACAGAGTACAACCAGTTTACCCAAAGTACAGTTTATACAGAGTACAACCAGTTTATACAGAGTACACGTTTATACAGAGTACAACCAGTTTATACAGAGTACAAGTTTATACAGAGTACAACCAGTTTATACAGAGTGCAATATTTACTTAGAGTTTAACATGTGCACAAAAAGTACAACATGTTGACATGGATGTTGAGATGATTCTTCTTCTTCTTTTGGCTTTTCCCTCTTCAGGGGTCTCCACAGTGAGTCATCCTCCTCCACCTCACTCTGTCCTCTGTGTCCTCTGTCCTCACTCCAGCAACCTCCATGTCAACTAACTGCATCCATATGTCTCCTCTTTGTCTTTTTTTCCTGGCAGCTGCATTTCTAACATCCTTTATACTAATATATCCACTGTCTCTCCTCTGGACATGTCCAAACCACTGTCCCTCCTTTGGACATGTCCAAACCATCTCAGTGTGTCCTCTCTAACTTTATCTCCCAGTTGTTCAGCCTGTGCTGTAGCTCTGATGATCTCATTTCTAATCTTCATCCTACTCCTAAGGAGAACCTCAACATCTTCATTTCTGCCACTTCCAGTTCTGTCTCCTGTCTTTTTGTCCATGTCTCTGTCTCCAGACCATGCAATATAGCTGGTCTCACCACTGTCTTGTAAAGTTTTCCTTTGACCTTTGCTGACACCCTTTTGTCACAAATCACTCCTGAAACTTTTCTCCATCCACTCCATCCTGCCTGGACTCTCTTCTTCACCTCTTTACCACCCCCCCCATGTTCCTGGACAGTGGACCCCAAGTCCTTGAAGTCCTGCACCTTTGTGACCTCTGCTCCTTGTAGCCTCACTGTTCCACCTCCTCCCTCTCATTCGCACACATGGACTCCGTCTTACTACGGCTGACTTTCATTCCTCTTTTTTCAAGTGCATACCTCCACCTCTCCAAGTTCTCTTCCACCTGTTCCCTGTTCTCACCACATACTGTATAATGCCATCTGCAAACCATAGTCCACAGAGAGTCCTGCCTGACCTCATCAGTTAGTCGGTCCATCACCAGAGCAAACAAGAAGGGGCTCAGAGCTGATCCTTGATGCACTCCCACCTCCATCTTGAAGCTATCTGTCACTCCTACAGCACATCTCACCACTGTCCTGCTGTCCTCATACATGTCCTGTACTAGTCTAACATACTTCTCTGCCACTCCAGACTTCCTCATACAGTACCACACCTCCTCCCTCGGCCTTTTCTAAATCCTCAAAGACACAATGGAGTTCTTTCTGACCCTCTCTGTACATCTCCATCAGCATCCTCAAAGCAAAGATGGCGTCTGTGGTGCTCTTTCAGTCTATGAAACCATACTGCTGCTCACAGTCAGCTCTCGCCTAAGTCTAGCTTCCACAACTCTTTCATTTTAATTTAATTTCCTTTAACCGTTATTGGGGGTGAGTGGTGGTGCAGAGGTTAGAGAAGGTGGGCATGGGATCGGAAGATCACCGGTTCACGCCCCGGTACCAACAACATCAAAAATGTGGGTGGGGTAGGTGAAGCACCTACACTTGCCCCCACCCTCATTCGCCCTACTCTGGGCCCATGAGCAAGGTCCTTAACGCCCACTTGCTCCCTAAACAGGTCTCTCTTGAAAATGAGTTCTCGTAAAAAAAAAAAAAAAAAAAAAAAGAGTTCTCGTGGCTCATGGAGACTACCTGGATAAATAAAGGGTAAATGAAAAAAAAAAAAAATTATACAGGTAATCTCTTTGAGTCACGAGGACTCATTTTCAAGAGAGACCTGTTTTAGACAGACAACATATAAAGTACAGACAACAATATACAACAATTAAAGCAATTAAAATAAGACACACAAAATATCTACCTTCCTTCTCAGCATCATGTCAGCCAGCTCTCTACCTTTGCCTGTCATTGTCCTCACATTTAGAGTTACAGCCCTCAGTCCTACATTCTTGACTTTCCTCCGCTCCCTCTGTCTCCTGACATGTTTCCCTCCTCGTGGTCTTTGACTAATAGTAGCACAATTTCTGCCAGCAGCCTGTTTGTTAGCAGCACCGGTGGTGGTCGTTGTTAACCCGGATCTCGACAAATCCAATATGGTTTCACTTTGATGAACTCACATGTTAGTTTTGGCAAAAGCGTTTCACGTCGGCTGCCTTTCCTGATGCGACCCTGACCATTTGCCTGGACTTGGGGATGGCATAAAGATACACTGACTTGTGCTCCCTAGTGGCTGGTTGATGTTGACATGACTGCACAGGACAAAACATTACACCAAATCCAACACGTTTACAGAGTACAACAAGATTATACAGAGTACACGTTTATATAGAGTACAATATGTTTACTTGAAGTTTGACATGTTTACACAGATTACATGTTGACTCAGAGTACATGTTGTTAATACAGCGTACAACATGTTTACACAGAGTAAAATAAATGTACACAGATTAGAACATGTTGTTTATACAGCGTACAACATGTTTATACAGAGTACAATGTATTTACACAGAGATCAAAGCTTTTACGCAGGGTACAATATGGTACAATATGGTACAATATGGATACTCTGAGGTAACTTGTTCTTCTGCTCCTCATCTGTGTTTGCGTTTCAGTCTTGAACTATGACAGCGTGTTGGAGACACCTTCAGAGACAGATGAGGATGACCGGACACTGCTGTCTGAAGACCCCAGCTTCACAGGAGGAGGAGGAGGAAGAGGAGGAGGAGGGGACTGTGAGGAAGCAGACAGCCCGATTTGTGGGCCCGCTCTGGAGGCATTGCCCCAAGTTGCTCAGGCCCTGCCATCTCCACAGGAGTACTGCGAGGACGGATGTCTTGGTGAGTATCTGAACTGGTCAGCAGGCTAATTGCTGCTTCTTCAGGTTACCATGGAAACCACTTCTGATCATCAATTAGAACAGCAGAATGAAGGGCAAACTTGTGAAAAACAGTATAGTCTGTACATGACCTTAGTAAAAGTACACAGTAGTGTGTACATCACCTTAGTAAAAATACACAGTATACAATGTACACGATCATAGTAAAAGTGCACAATATAGTCTCTACATTACATTAATAAAAGTACACAGAATAGTCTGTACATGATCTTGGTAAAAGTACACAGTATAGTGTGTTTATGACTTTAGTAAAAGTACACAGTATAGTGTGTACATGACCTTAGTAAA